AAAATCAAAAGATCAGAAAAAAATCAGGAAAATGTTCAAATTTCAGAAATTTTCTTGGCTTTTCAGAAGATCTAGCAAGCCTGATTTTAACTGTAAGTTTGGGTGAACGTGAGTTCGATTTTATTGGGAAAACACTATCCACGTAAACGTAGAGAAGGATAGGTCAAAAAGAAGAGAATTAAGAGAACACACACGAACATATATATGTCTACACATATATACATCTAGAGTGACATATAGAAGAGAAAGAAGAAATCCAATGGCGTATATGTAGAAATATAAAGGAAAAAAAAAACAATATGTGAAAGACGTAGTTCGTAGAGAATACGTCTATGTGTGTTGTACAGATACATATTTGAAGAATCCTCAACACTAACTTATGCATTTGTTTTTTTTACGTTATTAGTACTTTGTTGGGTGAAAAAAGTTTTGGCCTATCAATAAAAACCTTGCCCATTTCGCCCATTGGTTTTTTTCGACACAAGAGAAGTTTGCCCATTGGTCTAAAAATCCTGGTTACGCCGCTGTGTTCATACTATAATTGTTGTTCATCATTAAAATATGTAGTTGCTTGAAATGCACGAAGTGATGATGGATATTCCAAATTTTTATATGTATTATGTAAAATAGATAACCATTGATCTATCTGAATCATTTCATCTTCAGTTAATTTATTAATGGATTGTAAGGCTATTTTTTCTTGCTCTCTCAACGAATGTAATGTCGACTTACTATCCGATGAAGATATACCATCACCAGGTTTTTTTTCTTCAACCGATTCCAATGTTGATTGAGATGTTGGCATAGTTATTAATGAATTTTGTTGAGATAATAAATGAATTCTTGACTGTTTACAAACAGAATGAGAATCACTACGTGTTCGAGAAGGAGAACAATATAATAAATCAGAAATGTGATATTCTTGTAAATTTAAATGTGAACGAGTGTTATTATTCATCAACAACACATTTCCAAAAGAAGGGCAGTTCTCTTAATTAATTAAGCATTCATTAACAGAGACAATCCTTAAGAAAGGATGTTTCTAAAATTATTTCAAGTAAATGTAAAATTACGGGACCAATTTTTTAATAAGAAAGACACCGCTGTCACCACGTGTTAGATAATATTTTGCACTGAGAGTTCGATTCAACAATATGTTGACCTTTCTTCTATATTTATTAAGAAGTAAAAAATGTTCGTCGTACAATAGTTATGCACGCACATATATAATATCGAAATGAAGAAGAGGAGAAGAAAGACCACGAACAAAAGTAACATGAAAGAAAAAAAACATAGAGAAAGATGTCGTTCCTAACAAGTAGAGAAAGGTAATTTTTTTTTCTTGTAGCGTCAATAAGAAAAACGTGATATTGAATGTGTCAATATAAAAATATTTTCGTCTTTACCTGTAACATTCATATTACAGCAAAAAAACAACGATACGGATCGATTGATAAAGTATAACATTGTAAATAGAGATGGTTTTATCTCCAAAAACTACTCTTGGACGAGTTTTATTATTGGTTATTATTATATCAACAATATCTTATCTTGTTCTTAATTTAGTTTCATTTGGAGGAACTCCATGGATAACATATCATGATGTTACAATTCGCTTTGGTCTTTGGACAGTTTGTAATACAAATACATCAGGTGCTTGTAATCAATGGATTGATAATACATATAACTCAAATATAAGTGCTACATTTACAGGAAAACCAGGTTGAGATTTATTTCGTTAATATTTCTGATTAATTTATTTATTTATTTTTAAGGTTTTATTCAAAGTAGTCAAGCATTAGAAATAATATCTTTGATATTTTATATATTTGCTGCTTTACTTATTATACTTGGTATAATTGATCTTGATGGATTACCATTTCAAGTTGTGTTTCTTGCTGCTGCTGTTCTTTTATTTATTTGCAGTAAGTTTAAATAAATAAATGAAGAAAAACTACTAAGTTATATATATTGTGTTTAGTTGTATTTCTATCAGCAACATTGGGTGTTATGTCTGTTCAAGGTCGTAGTAATCATTCAGGTTCTCTTGAATGGGCATGGTGGGTTGGTCTTGTTGGTCTTATTATGACAATTATTGATTTTTTTGCATTAATTGCTCTCATTCTTGTTATGAGAGTATCGCCATCAAATAGGCAAACATTAAAAATGAAAAAGTTATTAGAAAAAAGATCTCAAATATTAAAATAATTATTTACTTTTTTTTGTTTTTTTTATTTAAGAAGTTCAAAAAAAGCAAAACAAGTCTATGGTCCATCTGTACCTGGAACGACAATCGGTGGTACGTTACCACCAATATTTCCACCACCAGTTAGTTCATCACCATTTTATTCTCCGGCACAAATCCCAACATATGTATTATCAAGTCAACCAATTCATTATCCATATGATCAAGGATACTTAAATCAATATCCAACTGATTATTTTAGTTTACCAGAAAATAATTTCAATAATTATTTTCCATATGATCAAGGATACGTAAATCAATATCCAACTGATTATTTTAATTTACCAGAAAATAATT